GAGAGAGTCGTAGTCGTATTAGATGGTTTGGTCACATTAAATGTCGACCATCTGATGATCCGATTAGAAGAGTAGATGTTTTACACTCGACTTATGTTAAGAAAGGCAGAGGTAGACCTAGGATGATCTGGCCATATTGTATAAAAAATAATCTTAATTTATTAGAACTAAATGAAAATATGACATTAAATAGGACGCGATGGAGAAAAAGGATTCATGTAGCTGACCACACTTAGTGGGATAAAGGTTTTGTTGTTGTTGTTGTTGAATTTTAAATGTTAAAATTGAAAATTTATATTCTTAAATTTCAAAAAAAAAATTAAATTTGATTTGAAAATAAAATGAAGACATCACATTCTCTATTTATGCAAGCATTATATCACTATCCTCCACAATGCCCTCCATTATATTCTTGGAGATTCCCTCCACAATAAAATTCATACTATCCTTCACAATTCCACCACCAAAATATCTAAATTAATCCTCAATTTCAATTTTAAATTGTAAAATTGAATTTGATAATCTCAATTCAATTTTTGATTTCAAACTATCAACCATATCTCCTATCACTTTTTCGTTAGAGGTTGTTTGGTCGACAATATTACTTGTGCATTGCATGCCGAATATAGAGAATTTGAAAATTCAGTTGTTTATTTAGAAGAAATTGAAATTCAATGTAAAATAACAATGTATTTGAAATTCAACCCTTGGTTCATTTTCTTTGTATTTGAAATTCACCCAATTTGGCCAATTTTCATACCTCAATTTAAAGTATCGCCTGTCGCAGCATGTGTCGCCACGGCCACGGCCACAACCTCCTCCGACCACCACCAACGCATTAATTTTTTACATTGAAATACATTATTTACATTTTACATCAAACAAAGAAAATTAAATTCGTCCGTTTATTTTATAATGAACTAAACTAAATCCAAAGTATTCCAAAAACAATACATTACTCCTACATTACATTTATTATACATTGCATTATTTTCTGCTGACCAAGCAACCCCTTCAAAATTTTATCCAACCACCTTAAGCTAATCAAACTTATTCAATCTGATTTGAGTAAGTCAAGCATGATTAACCTGAGATAACCCAGCCAACCCAACTTAAGCAAATCAATCAAAACAAAGAAGGGCATAAATCACAAAAGTGTCGTGATGATGGGCTCAATAACATACGATAAGAGGATACTGGTAATATAGTTGATGATAGCGATTGTTCTTTGTCTCCTTTGTCTCTTACTTCTAAAGATGGATTTTTTATTCGTCACATCCAATATGTTTCTCATTTGTTTCTCTACAAAATCAATCTTACTAGCTCTAAAATATTAGTGAGGATCTTCAATTCTTCTTCTAACATCTCAACACTTCAAAATAAATTTCTTAATACAATTGAGGTTGTGTCATCTACCTCAATGCTTAGTCATCAAAAATGTTTTTTAAATGTGATTTAATGTATTGTACCGTCATTCACATATTTCATTATTTAAAATAGTAATGTTTAAAGTATTATTATCATTTAGGATCATTTTAATTAAGGTAAATAATTATAAATAGTGTCATATAATTCAAATAGCTAGTGATGGAGTAAAAATATGGTATTTCTTTGACATCGTCCTTTGGGTATCTTCATACAATCGTTGCTACTTGTAAGGGCATTCATTTGTACCCTTTTCTCATATGATTTTTTAATAATTTCTCTCTTCGATTCTTCCTCAAAATCAAATTCTTCCTTTTTCCAAAAATCAAGATATTTCGACTACAATTCTAACATCCACTTTCAAATTTGCCATTATCGAATAATAGCATTTTATGGGCCAAAAGATATCCTCAGCATTCACATCTGTATGATGTCAAATTTTTCAAGTCAACCCACTATGAAAATCATGTATCTAACAAGTGGCACTCTAAGATGAGAAGAAATTTAAAAGAATTTGATAGCCAGTTTTTATATTTATTTCAACAAGCAGATACAAAGAATCCTCAATACTTAAGAGCTGTTAGCTTAACTTAGTAGAGCACTACATTTTATTTTCAAGCATTTCAATTTTTTGGTATTTGTTATGAAGTAAAAGAAATATGAAGTAAAGTTTGAGGGATTTGAAATATCCCGAAAGTTATATTTTCCCTATGTGTGGAAATCACCCAAATCGAGTGATGTTACAATCAGGCATTATGCCTGCTTGTAATTCCTGCCCTCACTCCCTGTCTAACATCATTGCCTGCCCGCCTAAAACACCTGTTGTCGTCGCCTTTTTTCACATTTCAATGCATTTAAAATGTATTAGAATAAAATTAAAAAAAATGCATTTGTTTTACATCCAACCAAAAAATTGTTACATTTCTAAAAGGCTTGCATTTTAAACACCTTGTATTTCTTAAATACATGTATTTTCAAAACAACCAGCCAAATAACGCCTTAATGAATTTCAAAACTGAGACCAGTCATCTGTAATGGGCTAGCACCAAAAAGGAATCCTCAATATTTCATGGAATTATGGATTTCAAAACTAACCTCTAAATACAGCTCTGCCATCTCATCAGTCACTTGAATTGTGTCATGATGCAAAAGCTTTGGGAAATTTGATAGTTTCTCCAAGTAATCTGCAATATCAATAAGTGAATCCCTCATTCTAACATTAGGATAATTTGCGACAAGAGCAGTTTCAGGCACAGGAAAGTTGAGAGTGCCAGATATGTGAAAATCAAACAAAGTCTTCAAGAAAAGAAAAAGGCTCTGTGGATGAGAATGAAGCTGTGAAAGAATATTCTGCATCTCAATATCAAGTTGGTCAATAGCTAAGAAAAATGTGCATTCCCTGCAACAAGGAATGCAAAAGGATATGAGCAGGGCGTAAACTGATTATAATTAACCAAAAAAAAAACCCAATATAGATAAGCGGTGCACAGTTACAATGAGATGAAGAAGAACACAAACGCAGACAGGCTTCTTTACCTGCTAAGTTTAACCAGCTCAGGAAAACGGGAAATAACTGCTGCTTGAAATAATAAAGCTTTCGTATTGTCTAGTTGCAAGAACAACTTGTTAATAAAAGAAAATGCATGGATAGGCTCATCCAAATCCTGCATATAGCTATCTAGGGCATCAACATACTCCCCTCTGATGTAATGAATAAAGCCACATGCCTGAAAATCAATTCAACAAGGAAGCAGACAACATTACTAGGTTCAAATCTAACAATTAAGCCTAACAACATAAATATATTAGTCAAAAAATCCACGTAAGTTTGAATGATAGGAAATCTCTTTAACATGCCTGATAGAATTTAGCCTCCATGCAGAGAGGCAAAACAAAAGAAGTATCCCAAATTTCCTGAGGTACTGCCTTCAAAACAGAAAGTAGCCGTCTTTCCTTTATAGAATCTCTATCTTTCTGACTGTGATCATGTAATGTCAAATATTCAGCAATATGCATCAATACTCTCGCAGAAATTGTGGCTCTTTTACTTGCAACAAGGTACGCTATAAAGTCTAGTATAAAATAAATGTCTTTTTTCAAAGGCCAAACATCTTCATTGCAATCCATCTCAAAGAACCAAACAATGTCAGATTCCAAGTCAATAATAGATATTAGTGCATTTGCAATACTTTGCACCATTGAATATTGGCTTTTTGAATACTCAAGTTCATGTTTATTTTCTAGATCTACATGAGAAGCTGGTTGGCCAAGATCTGACGGATCTTTAATATGTTCTGCTTCATTGAAAGCACACTGTAGAACATCCAGAGCTGCTTCGGTGTCCAAGTAAAGGATATAGAAAAGGTTTGGTAAATTTCCAGAAAAAGATTTGAGCTTTTTTGACACTTGTGAGAGTGAAATTTTAGAATCTTCGAGTAAAAATTCCAACAATTCTTTCCAAATTGAAGGTGATCTAGAAGGAGGAAGATAACCATGTCCTGCAATCAGAATTATATAGGTTACAACTCAAAAGCTCCACCATTTTACAACAAAATCCAAGTTTGCTGGGATGTAACAGCCACTGAAAAAACCATATCAACTCAGAATAAAAGAAAAAAATACATATATCTTCCTGATGCACAAGAGCCTAAAAGCCATAATCTACTTTGTTATCATCAATCAGCAAGTTGAGGTTTACGGATAAGGATCTAGCAAAGCAAGTTCTTAAAGATAATTTACTTTTTTTGTGCAAGAGAGGTTCTTGGTCTTCCCTCTTGTCTCTCGATTATCTATCAATTCAGGATTAGCTCTCACCCTCAATTGATAGATTCACTTTACTCCTAGCCAAGCACACATCTTGCAACCCTTTGTCATACATCCTTCTCTTCTTCCCAATAATGCCCATATAAGAAGATAAAAAGCAATAAAGCAATCCACATGTGAAGAATGCACCCAAGAAATGAGGTTTAATGTTTTAATTCAAGAGAGGAGAATTGCATATAATGAATTAACTGGAAAATATTTCATTATAGTGGACACTGCAAACAAAATGCATTTTTGGAGCTTCAAATTAGAAAGCTTTTCTTCATTAAGAAGAGAACCACAAACTCTAACTGTGCTATTGGTTTATGCCCAACCGCCCTTGCATGGAAGTGGAGGGAGGTGACATACTGTTAGGAGGGGTTTTTAATAATTAATTATTTATTTATTTGAGGACCTCCTTTATTTTCCTTCTTAGTGAGGCATTATTTGTGATAGCTTAACTTTAAATTGACCTTCCTTTAGAAAAAATGAGTTTCTGCTTTTCCCTAAATTGAAGGGAGGATTCCTTATTTTGAGGTGGATTACCCATTTGTGGAGAGGTGTGGGCAGAGTGGTGGCGGAGTCCAGGATTTTGCCACAATCAATCACCCAAACTTCTCTCTCTCCCCCAAAGCATTCTTGAACCCTATTTGTGCACATCCAGTGGTTGTCTACGCGTATTCCAACTGCAGGAAATCCAAAACAGACACAACACAGATTATTTTAAAAGTTGGAAATTAAAATAGCTCCAAGACATTGCCAAAATTAATTCCAGCACTCAAAATCAACCCCCAAATAGCTGTCCAGTGGGGCTTATTCCCAATCGGAGAAAAGGGTCGTCCATTATTCTTACTATCCTAAGAGATTCAATTCAAGATACTTGGTGGCTATTTGCATTCTATGGATATCTGGTATTGAACAGGCCCAAAAAATGACCAATGTCATATGTTTCAAGAGGCAGTCAAAAGCATATTAACAGCTATCTGAGAGGAACGAGATAAGTTTCCGCAAAAATTAGAGCAAAAATAATAGATTATATTCTACTCGTACCAAAAATAAATAATATAATCCCGAATACAAAAAATAGGCCTATAATTCGAGAGTTAGGCAAGTCTCTCTCAAACCCCAACTCCTAAAACTCTAGATAATAATCATATACCCTAACCCTAATCATATTAAGCCGTATTTATAGCAAAAAATAATAACTAACAAATGAATAAATTGTCTTTTTAGCCTTGAACCTAAAAAAAGTCTTCAGATTATTTGGCAGGCTCAATGTGGCAAAAAGCACGAAGGTACCGGTCTAACATTACCCCACTCCCAATAACACACATTTTCCTCGAAGTGGAAAGAGAAAATTGTTGATTGATCAAGTCATATGGCTCCCTCATAACGACTTAATATTGCAACCATTTCCTTTTAATCAACTCTTCTTTCCCAGCTATCGATTGCAGGAGCACCCTTTTTAACTTTAGTAGCTCCAACAGAACTTTCATATCCTTAGTCAAGGTAGGGAGAAGTGAAGAAGGGTAGATTACACCAATAACACATTTCAATTGTGCACGTGAAACACTGGATAAAGTGTCAACGAAAGTAGTGAATTTAAACAATAAGTTGCCCCACCAATGCGCTTTGTGATCTCATACAAACTAAAATAACGTGTGGAGAGCTTCTCATTTATGTGTCCTATCAATGTCTTTTGTCGATAGGGTTAAAGTTGTAGATACACCCCATCTCCTATAGCAAATTGCACACCCTTTGATGCCTGTGCGACCTATTTCTTCATAAATTGTTATGCCTTCAATAAACGTCCATTCAGTTCTACCAACACCTTGTCCCTCTTCTAAATATTGATCCACTAGAGACACCGGCGCAGTGTTGTGTACATAATGCACCAAATGTGGTGGATCACAACCATAAAAGAGCTTAAAAGGAGTATTATGAGTTGTAGATATGAACAAATGTACCAATATTTTGCCCAAGGTAGCTATCGAGCCCATTACTTGGTCTTGTCAGATAGAAAGTAATGCAAATAGGTCTCCACACTTCAATTAATAACTTCAAATTGTCCATCAGTATGTGGGTGATATGTTGTACTTTTCTTCAATATAGTCCCTTGCACTCTAAACAGCTCCATCTATAAAGAACTAAAAAAGATATTTTGTCTTGATCTGACACTATTGATTCTGAATTACCTTGCAAACGGACATCTAGTATAAAAACAACAGCGATAAAAATAGCAATGTAAGGATGGTGTTAAGGGAAAAATTGAGGATGCTTGCTCAATCGGTTCACCACCACAAAGATGACGGTAATTCCTTCAAACTGAGGTGAACCTTTAATGAAATCCATTTTCACCTCCTCCCATACTTTCTACTATAATGATAGAGCTTGTAGGAACCCTCCAAGCGCTAACGTCATGTACTTGTGCCGCTAGCACACATAAAAACTTGAGACCATGTTATCCACATCTTTTCTTATTCCCACCAAATGCAAATCTACTGCTATCCTCTGGTATGTTTTGAGCATATCCAAGTGCCCCCAGATAGCATTGTCATGAAACTCCTGCAATAATTTCAGTATTTGCCTTGAATTTCGGGATCATACAATATCTTTGATAAAATAAATGTCAATCATTCAGTGAATAACCAGGATAGTTATTCTCGCCATTCATTAATATCGACCGGATCTTGCTCGATTCCCCATCTGCCTCACTTTCTTGTCTTAGGACTTTCAAATCTAAAACCAAAGGAAACTGATAATGCCAACAATTGAGCTTCCTCCATCCATCGTGATAAGGCATCGATAAACTCATTCTCTAATCACGGGCGATTTTGAATCTCAAAGTTATACCTGAATAGCTTAGATAGCCACCTTTAATGTTACTCAGTCACCATACATTGTTCTAACAGAGATTTAAATTTGCATTGATCTATATGTATTATAAAACACCACCACAACAAATAAAGTCGCCATTGCTGAAAAGCGAGCACAATTGCCACAAGCTCGCTCACAAACTGACTAGAGTCTAGCTCTCACCATCAACATTTGATAGAAATAAGCGATAGGTCATTAACATTGTATGAAGACTACGCCTAACCCATAGCCTGAAGCATCCATCTCTATAATGAATGGTTGGTTGAAGTTAGATAACACCAACACTGATAAACTCATCATAGCCTTTTTTAACTTCTCAAAAGCCTGAGTTTTCGCTTCCCCCCATGGAAAACTATCATTCTTCAATTGCTCCATTAGCAGCCACGCAATCAAGCTATAACCCTTCACAAACTTCCGGTATGCTGTAAATTCTAGAAATCATCTCAACCTCTTTAAGGTCTTAGGTAGTGAACAATCCAACATAGTCCTCACTTTTGGTGGATCCACCGACACCCCTGCAGCCGACATCACATGTTTTGAGTACACCTTCGATTGGGCAAAAAAACACTTCTTTAAGTTAGTGTAGAGCTCGTGCTCATCGAGTACCGTCAACACCTCCTTTAAATGATAAATGTGATCTTCGAAGGAATGACTGTACACTAGGATATCGTCAAAAAACACCAACACAAACTTACCTAGGAAAGACAGAAATACTTTATTCATCGGTGATTGAAATGTAGGTGGCTTGGTGAGCCTGAATGACATATCCAGAAATTCACAGTAACCCTCATAAGTTTGAAATGCAATCTTGTACGCATTGATTGACCACAACTGTATCTGATGATATTCTAAATTCAAGTCAATCTTGGTGGATAATGCGGCCCCAAACAACTCGCACAATAGCTCATCAATCATAAAGAAAGGAAGTTTAAGAGGTATTGTTTCTTTATTCACTGCCCGTTAATTCACATAGAAACGCAAAATCCCATATTTCTTTCCTAGCAAGATTGGGCATGAGAAGAGGTTCACACTATGCTTTAAGATCCCGGCCTCCAAACCCTCTCAGATAAATTTATTAATCTTGTCCTCTATACCTGAGAAGTGATATGGATGCACACTTGTTGGAGAAACCCATGGTCTTAGATTTATTGCATGCTTATGTTCCTTTCGAGTGGTAATTTGCATGACAACAAAAAAAACTTCTACATATTATTGTAAGAGTTGTTGGATAGATGTTGGAATATGCACCAACTTTAGATCATGTCTCTTCCATACTATACAACTTGATAAAGAATCCCAACCTTGCATCCTGAATTGCCCCAACCATGATCTTGAGTGTCACCAAGGTCTTGCAAAAACTAGGGTCACTGTGAAGTACCATTGTCTTGTCTCTCCCCTAAAACTTCATTATTAGGACTTTCTAATTCATCCAATAACAAAAAATATTCCATAGCAAAGAGAAAATACTAATGCCTTTCAGTGTCAAAACCACCCATTTACAAACTCCCTTGCTCATCCACCTGTCACATTCCCATCATTGCTTCAGAACTTCTCGTGTCAATCATCTCATGCCCCCAATTGCTTTACTACTTGAATAGAGATTATGTTGTGGGTGGCCCCAACATTAACCAACATCATTAAGCCCTGATCAATGATCTATCCTCGAAATTTCATAGTACGGATCGGTGTTAACCTCACCACTGAGTTCAATAAAACTTTTGCCACCTCCAAGTGAAAGTATTACTCCACCACAACCTCCAAAGTCTCTTCATCCTCTGTCTCCTCCTTGTCACACACTGTGAGAACATATACAGTTTGC